GGAAGTTCGGAGTTGACTTGGAGAGAAAATTCTCATTTCAGAAGCTTTAAGTTGAGAAAATTGATTGGGATTGGATATAAGAGTAAACGACCTCGGAATCGGGATCTGAAGGTTCCAGTAGGTTCGTATGATGATTTCGGACTTGGGCGTACGTCCGAATCGGGTTTTGGGTGACCCGGGAGCGTTTTGGTGCCTATTGTGGAAGTTAGCATTTTGGAAGAAATTTCATAAGCTTGGGTTGAAGTGCATTTCAGTGTTATCGATGTCCGTTTGGGATTCCGAGTCTGGGAGTAGCTCCGTATGGTGATTCTGGAGTTGGGAGCACGACCGGAAGTGAATTCGGAGGTCCGTGGGTCATTTTGGAGTCATTTGGCTAAAGATAGAAATTTGAAGGGTTTTGAGAAGTTTGACCGGATGTGGACTTTTTGATATCGGGGTTGGAATCCGATTCCGGAAGTTGGAGTAGGTCCGTAATGCCGAATCTGGCTTGTGTGCAAAATTTGAAGTCAATCGGACGTGATTTGATAGGTTTAAACATCGAAAGTAGAAGTTTGAAATTTTAAAGTTCATAATGCTTGGATTGGAGGTCGATTCATGATTGTAGCGTTGTTTGATGCGATTTGAGGTCTCGAGCAAGTCCGTAATGTGTTTTGGGACTGGTTGGTATAATTGGTCGGGGTCCGGGGGCCTCGGGTGGATTCCGGGTGGTTAACGGATCGAATTGAAGCTTGAAGGATGAGCTGAAGGGGTCTGGTTGCTGGTATAACCGCTTTTGCGGAGGGCTCACTGCAGAAGCGACCCCGCAGAAGCGAGGATTTGAACCGCAGAAGCGGTTAGATATGAAGGGAGAAGAGGCCGCAGGTGCGAAGGAATTTCCGCACCTGCGTGATCGCATATGCGATCAGTGCGGCACAGAAGCAGGCTGGGGCAGCCAAGTGAAGGACCGCAGATGCGGGGTATTGGCAGCATCTGCGAAAGCGCAGAAGCGGCGAGGAGTTCGCAGGTGCGGAAGTCGCTGGGCAGAATGTTTTAAAAAGCGGGGTTGAGTTCATTTCACCCATTTTTTCCTCTTCTTTAGGGCAATTTTGGAGCTTTTTGAGAGGGGCTTCCATCTAGCAACTTAGAGGTAAGTTAATCCCACCTATCTTGAGTTAAATACATTGGTTATGTATAGATTTTAGCATGTAAATTGGTAGAAATTTGGGGTTTTGGTGGAATGACCTAGAAATTGATATTCTTGGAATTTGACAACGATTTTGGTTATGGAATTAAGAGAAAATCATATATTTGAGTTCGTGAGTTCATGGGTAGACTCTATCTTCGAAAAATTTCGAAATCCGGGCACGTGGGCCCGAGGGCATTTTTGTCAACTTTTTGATCGGGGTTAGGAATTGTTATATATTGGATTGTAATGAGTAATTGAGCATATATTAATGGATTTTCATAATTATTGGTTAGTTTTGGAGCGTTGTGCATCAATTTGAGTCTTCGGAAGGGCGTGGAATGCCGGTTATGGATCTTCGGAGCGAGGTGAGACTCCTTTCTAACCTTGTAAGAGGGAATTGTCCCCATAGGTGAAATAATTGGTTATGTGCTCCTATTTATGGGGGCTACGTACGCACGGGGTGACGAGAGTCCGTGCGTACGTAGCCCCCATAAATAGGAGCACATAAGAGGAGCACACGTTATTTTCGAGATTAGGCGGGATACTTACTGAGTACACGTTATTTTCGTACTCATGCTACACTTGCTGTGCATTTTGTTGCACAGGTACATGTAATTCTATTGGCCCATTGGGCGTAGCAGCACGGGCGATCCGGAGACTAGGTGAGCTGTATTTCCTCGAGGCGACGCGCAGCTAGTATAGTCTCTCTCAGAATTGTATTTACTTCCTGTCCATTTGTGTTTCGGACAACTGTTGTACTTTATTCAGATTCTTAGAAAATGCTCATGTACCTGTGACACCGGGTTCTGGGATGGTTATGAAGTATTTGTATTAATTGCTTATCATTTAATTTGAATTGAAACGATTATCTGTTTATTTGTAAATTCAGAGAAAAATCATATATTGTAAGAGTATTAAAACGAGAATTTAATTAAGTAATTTGGTTGGCTTGCCTGACGGTGGTGTCCGGTGCCATCACGACCCTTAGTGGATTTTGGGTCGTGACAAATCCAAGTGGTAGCCTAGAAAAAATCACACGACATAATTAGTTAATAACAATAAAATTATCGATTGAAAATTAACAAAGAAATTAACTACTAAAACATGGGTGAGGGTAGTTAATTTCTTTATTTTATTTTTTAAAATCATTTTCGTTTTTATTTTTTGAAATAAAAAGTATTTTTATTCATTAAAATTCATACAATATTATTGAGAAAAATATAATAAAATTTAAAATAGAATATATATATATATATATATATATATATTCAAGAGTAATAAAATATATATCTTCTATTACATTAAAAAATATAGCAAGACAAAAAGATTAAACAAGTAATATGCTAATAATCTATCTATATATTATTAAAATCCAAAGAAAAAGCACCACACTAATTCAAGTGGTAGCCTAGAAAAAAGCCACATGGCATAATTAGTTAATAACAAAAAAATTATTTGTTGAAAATTAACAAAGAAATTAACTACCAAAATTAACTACTCAAACATGGGTGAGGGTTGGGTATATCGTATTGACAAATAAGATGTCAACTGAAATTTATTAAAGTAATACGGTCTAATAGGATCAAACAAGCCTGATCATAATTTAATTTAATTAATACTTTTTTAATATTGAACGCGCATCGTGCGGGTACGACTACTAGTTTAATTTAAACACGACAAGAAGCAAAAAAAAGTTTCAATAATACGGTTTTGGACGTCTAAAACGAAAAAACAGAAAGATAAAACTACTATTTGCTCCAATTAATTCAATCTTTAAATTTAATATATACTCCCTCCTTTCACTTTTAGTTGTCAAGTATTCTATAAATTTTCATTTATACTTGTCACTTTTCGCATATCAAGAAAAAAATAATTTATTTTTTTCTGTTTTGCCCTTAGCATTAATTACTCATTCCAAATCTTTTAAGACTATACATTAATTAATATGGTATCATGGTAAATTACATATGCACTTTATTTATTATTTCTAAAAAGGTATATAAAATCAGTAGTGGACAAGTAAAAATGAACAGATGGAGCATCTAACTTCATTAAATATTGCCTAACTCCAATATATAGCCGAACTACCATGCTAGGGATTAGGGTTCACTACTTGCAATAGGTGGCCGGTGCTAATGAAATACTCCACCTGCTTTCATTTATCTGTCTTGTATCACCACTAGACTAGAAATTGGTCTATTGCAACATTATTTTGCTACATTAATGCTACTTCTGACTTTAGTTTAAGAATACAAGATTTAAATAAAATGGAAGAGTATATATATAAATATATATATATATATATATATATATATATATATATATATATATATATATATATATATTTTAAGGGTACGTGCGTTGTGCGTGTATCGTAACGTGTGTACCTTATCTTAATAAGTTAAAATTTTAAAATCACATAAATGTTATATTTAAAATTTGTGTCTGAGATATGTATAAGGTAGAAGTTAACGAAAAAGTTTAAATTTTTAAAAATGATGATTGTTGATCCTATTTAGGTAACTCAATAATGTAAGAAATATATCCCTGCATAAGTCGATCAATTGTCTTAATCAATATATTTAACTTAAAATTTATTTTAGTTTTATAATTTTATTACTTAATTTCTGAGGTTATCATGCTCCTTTTTATTATTAGTACGCATATCCTTGAAGATTAAGATTTTTTTTTTGAAAAACTATATATTCATATGTTAATTATAGAAGATATAAAATAGGATCAACTAACTGACAAATCTTTCTTATTTTTTCACCGAACGCCCAAAATTAAGATACTTACAAATTTTTTTTACCTGTTAAAAGTATATTTTATACTGGACAAAATTATCATTTAACTATTTTTTTAATATTTAAATATTTATGTCAACTATAATCTTTTTATTAGATCTTTCCTTATTTGAACTATACATAAAATCCTAATATGCAATGACTTTTAAATTAACTAAGATTAGCTTTTACAAAAAATTGTTCTAATATGTAGACTTTAGCTTTAGTAATAACGAACCAAGTATATTTTAGCTCAACAAAAAGCTAAATATGTTCGTATGATTACGGTAAGACCGTAAGGCTTACCATAATCAAGTAGACTTTATTTTGAATTCAAATATTATCATTAGATAATATCAACAAAGTAAATCGATGTTACAATTATGAAACTTATATAACGAAATAAAATTTACACCACATACATTCTAAGATCATTATCAATTACTGTTGAAAATAGAACATGGTGTGAAACATCAATGTCATTAACCGACCTAGCACTTCAACTCAAATTGCTTGTGAACAACACATGACCAATATATTAATTTAGTTTACAGGTTTCTTTCCTTTCTATTGTTTACGTATTTTATCATGACAACAACATTTACATTATTTTATCATGGCCACATTTTTAATATACCTTAAAATTTTTTGCGTACAACTTTTCAAAAAGTTATGTTAAGTAAGGAAACTTTATATAATATAAAATCTTAATTGATTTTAAGTCCAAAAATTTAGGAAAAATTTGATTTGATTTTAAAGTCATAAATATTACTAAAATATTCAAATGACTATCTTGTCCAGTATGAACTATATTTTTAAAGGGTAAAAAAAGCGAACGACATTTTGCTAAGGGTCTTTGTGCTTGTAATGTAGTATAGATAGATAATATATGAATGAAGTTGAAAGAAATTCATTATTGGTCTGCTTCAAAAGAGCTATAAGTAGTACAGTTTCAATACTATATTAGTAGGAAAAATTGTGGCAATTACATGGCTGCTATTTGGCTAGCTCTTGCAGTAGTTGCACTGCTTGCTTATTTTCTTCAAGAATTAATGAGGAAGAAGAAGAAACTTCCTCCAGGGCCAAGAGGACTTCCACTTATTGGGAATCTTCACATGTTAGGCAAGAATATTTACCAAGATCTTTATAAAATAGCCAAGAAATATGGTCCCATAATGTCCATGCGATTTGGTCTTGTTCCTGTCGTTGTTGCTTCCTCTCCTTATGCTGCAAAACAATTCTTGAAAAACCATGATCTGGTTTTTGCTAGTAGACCTTACAGTGAAGTTTCTCAATACATTTTCTATAATCAGAGAAATCTGGTCTCTAGCAAGTACGGACCTTATTGGAGAAATATGCATTTTCAATACATTTTCTACAATTGCTTAGCAATGTCAAGATCCATTCTTTTCAGCCTATGAGGAAACAAGAAGTTGGAAATCTTGTGAATTTCCTCAAACAGGCGGCTGCTTCTGATGGCGATGTTGTCGTTAATCTTAGTGATAAAATTGGATCCCTTAGCACGAACATGGCCTGCATGATGTTATTTGGGAAGAAGTACATGGACGAGGATCTTGGCGAGAAGGGTTTCAAGGCTCTGGTTCAAGAGACAATGCGTATAATAGCAATGCCAAAACTTGGTGATTACATTCCTTGTCTTTGTGTGCTTGATCTCCAACGATTGACTCCTCGTATGAAAGAATTAGCTAAGCTTTTTGATGAATTTTTGGAGAGAGTTATCGACGAACATGTTCATCAATCCACTAATGAGCATAAGCAAGCTAAAGATATTGTTGATACACTGATGGACATTATGCAATCTGGAGAAGCTGAGTTCGAGTTTGATCGTCGCCATGTCAAAGCAATTTTGCTGGTAATGTTCACTCTAAATGCCCTTTCTTTGTCTGTCTAAAGTTAGGGTTAGTTTCACGTATAGTCACCATTGGACAATATAAGTCGCATAATTATTTTTGTTTCATAAGAAAATCATTAAAGTTTACCCACGGTAACAAAAATACTTTTTGTTCTATAAATTAGTTGGACAATAATTATCTACTATATTGAAATAGTCGTTGATAATTTTTATATTGTAACATGCAATATCATTTTTGCTTCTTTACTTGGACTGTATAGTGGAAACTTTAAGTTTCCAATTATACTGGCAGTGTTGTATGAGTTTACAACAACAATCAGTATAATCCCACAAGTGGGGTTTGGGGAGGATAGTATGTACGCAGCTTTACCCCTACCCTGGAAGGGCAGGGAGACTGTTTCCGATAGACCCTCGGCTAAAGCAGGTGACGCTGTATGAGTTTATAGCTAAAAAATGATGATATACATGTAGGACTTGCTGATGCCTTGTATGGATACTTCATCAACAACGGTTGAATGGATTTTTTCAGAACTCTTAAGGAACCCTGATGTAATGAAAAAACTCCAGAATGAGTTGGAACAAGTTATTGGTAAAAACAGAATGGTAGAAGAATCAGACTTAGAAAATCTGGAGTACTTAGATATGGTTATAAAAGAAGGTTTTAGGCTCCATCCAGTAGTACCACTATTAATTCCTCACGAGTCCATTGAAGATTGCACGGTTGATGGTTTTCATATACGTAAAGGATCTCGAATTTTGGTCAATGTTTGGGCAATTGGAAGAGATCCAGATATTTGGCCTGAGCCAGAAAATTTCAAACCAGAGAGATTTTTGGGATGCAACATTGATGTCAAGGGACACAGTTTTCAACTTTTACCATTCGGCTTTGGTAGAAGAAGTTGCCCTGGTTTGCAGCTTGGCCTCACCATTGTCCAATTGTTGGTAGCACAATTAGTTCACTGCTTTGATTGGGAGTTACCAAATAATATGCTGCCAAAAGATCTTGACATGAATGAGAAATTTGGTTTAGTTACTGCAAGAGTTCAACATATAATGGCCATTCCTACATATCGATTGCATGTATAGTAGATTAAAATCTCAATAATATATAGTTCAAGATTAGTTGCACTTTCTTAATTTGGCCTGAATAATACGAGGGAAAGACAAAAAAGAGGGGAATTTTGTCTTATGTTCATGAGTTTAGATGTATTCTTCTAATAGTTCTAAATATAGAACCAAACATGTATTAAAAATTATCGTTAAACGTTAACTTGTAAATAAAGCAAGACATGACAACGTCACAAGTAGTTTGGCTCCTATTTTGATGATCTAACATATTTAGTGTTTTCTTTTTATTTTTATCTTCGATCAATTTTTTAATTAAATGGAAACTTGGTCAGCAGCAGGCCTGAACTAATAGTAACGTTATTAATAAGGGATATGTATCCTTATTATTTGATTCCTTTTCATAGACATGTATATATACACGTAGGTGTTGATATTCGAGAAAATCTCACTTTATACCCATTAATTCTAAACTATTTACCCTTTAATGCCCAAGCCTAAACTATTTACCACTCCTACCCATACCCCCCAAATTATTTACCCGCTAATTTTAGATGAGAAACTAACTCCCGCTTCCTTTAGCTTCTCCAGGACAAATATGGTTGTGTCACCGTGCCCAACTGGTAGTATTTTATTTCTTCTTATATTATATTAAATAATATTAATATTATATTTTTTTCTTATTCTTATTGAGTTCATTTGACATGAACTCTAAATTACCACTCTAGTCACGTAGAGGAAATTTTCGAGTTAAACAAGTCTTTAAATAGTATTAATATTATATTTTTTTCTTATTCTCATTGAGTTCATTTGACGTGAACTCTAACTTACCGCTCCAGTCACGTAGAGGCAATTTTCGAGTTAAACAAGTCTTAGATAATATTAATATTATATTTTTTTCTTATTCTCATTGAGTTCATTTGACGTGAACTCTTACTTAACACTCTAGTCACGTAGAGGGAATTTTCGAGTTAAACAAGTCTCTATCTTTTCTCATTCAACTCTCACTCTTCAAAGTAGGGGTATACAAAGAAAATCGATAAACTGCACTAGATCGATAATCCAAGTCAAACCATTTTTATTTATCATAATCGATAAACCGCACTAATACCTTCTGGAAGTTCAAACTGAAATTTGATAGCATTTGGAGCTGATTTGAGATCGAAATTTTCAGCCAAAAATCGAAAAAGAACACAACTACCCAATAGTATACTGCTACGGTATACCATATGCTGTAGGAGTATATAGCTATACTGCAACAGTATACTATTATACTTTACAATATACTGCAATGATATATTGCAATAATCGAAGAAGAACAAGTTACCTAACAATATACCGCTACAGTATACAATATACTATAGGAGTATATAGTTATACTGCAATAGTATACTATTATAGTATACAATATATTTGTTATAATATATTGTAACAATATGCAATATACTGTAATAGTACGCTGTAATAGTATACAATATACTATAATAATATACTTATTACTCGTAAATTCACTTGCCTTTTCCCTTTTAATTTGCTTTAAACTTTTACCCAGCGTAAGGGAAAAATTGAAAATGCAAAAAATATATATATATATATATATATATTATAGTATGCTGTATAATGTAATGGTATACTCTTACAGTTAGATCCTTTGAGAATTTTTTGAAATTTTTTATTGACAAGTGATATTATTTCGGTTTAATAATTGAATTAAATTTTTTTTAACTCTTTGCGTACAATTGTATACCCTGTTGGTATAGCTATATACTATACTGGTATCATAAGTTAGTTAATATTTTTTGGTCGTATTAGCTACATTTAATTGGTACACAATTTGATTTTCTTTAGTAATAATATAAAAAAAATAATAAAAAATAGTGAAAACAGTAAATGAAATTAGATTACGAAAAGAAAAAGAATATATAAAAAAATTAAATGGAATTAGAAAAGGAAAAAAAGAAGAAGAAAACGAGAAAAAGAAAAGGAGAAAAGAAAAAAAAGAAAAAAGAAAGAAAAGAAGCATAGAAATAAAAAAGAATTGGAGAATAAAGAAAATTTTTCCCACAAAAACTACTATAGGTAGAAAATGTAATTAGTTTATGTGTAGAAAAATAAATGGACAGACAAGGATAAATAGTTTTGTTTTTGTGGGTAACTGTGTCAAAACCCCTTGATATTCTCTATCTGCTATTAATTCTCCGCACTATTCCTACTAGTTTACTATGGAACAAATTCTCAAGAATAGTTTTCTCTAGAAATATAAATGTTATGTTATCGGAATATGGCCAACTGTACACCTTCACCAACATCAGAAGCTATATATGTCTAATAAAACAATAGAAGAAACCTCATGTCTAATAGTCTGTTTGGCCAAGTTTTTTTTTGGCAAAAAGTGCTTTTTTCGGCCAAAAGCACTTTTGGCCAAAAATTGAGGTGTTTGGCCAAGTTTTTGGAAGGAAAAAAGTGCTTTTGAGGAGAAGCAGAAAAAAGTAACTTCTCTCCAAAAGCACTTTTTTGAGAAGCACTTTTGAGAAAAATATACTTAGAAACAGTTTTTTAAAGCTTGGCCAAATACTAATTGCTGCTCAGAAGTGTTTTTCAAACTAATTAACCAAACACAAACTGGTTCTCACCAAAAGTACTTTTGAGAAAAGCACTTTTGAAAAAAAAGCACTTCTCAAAATAAGCTGATTTTTGCAGCTTGGCCAAACGGGCTACAAGCATCACAGGAAATGTAATCAAAATTAGCAAGACTTCTTAGACGCCCATTTCCTCTCTTTTTATAGAAAATATTATTATATTATACTGCGCATTAAAACTATAAATAATTACACAGCTTGGTCTTTCTGGATATATAATCTCTTTACGTTAATTAACAAATGAGATGTGTTTGCCAATACTCATGCAACATTAATTAACATGCAAGCGTGAGTTAAATGATAGTAGCAAGTGTTACCATTGTTAGACATGAAATGCTAAACTTAAAATTGGACCAATCTCCCATCTACGCAATTCAAAAGAAAATAGTTAAATTATTTTATTCATTTTATGTGTACTATCAAAATATTTAAATGTAGGTAGCATAATATAAAACATAAAATCTAAAAGCATACACATTAAGATACAAAATATACGCATACACATTTAAATTTAATGTTTCCTCTAGCCATAATTTTCCAATGTACGTTATTACTCTAAATCAGAACAGTGTGAAAGAAAACAATTGAACTTGTAGTAGTTTCTCAATACTCTCGTTGTTTTTTAATTAGACCCTGATCCTCCTAGTCAAACAATTGGTTGTCTATAATTAACAAACTCAATATGAAACTTTTATAATACTATCACCAAATTAAAAATCATCTTGTAAGATATTATTCGATTTAAACATATAGCTAAAAGTTAATTTATAAGTGACATATGTGGACTAAATTTTAGCTAAACCTTACGAAATCTAATGAGATTAGGATCCCGTTTGGATGGGCTTATTTTAAGTGACGTTTAAGCCAAAATAGATTTTAAGCCATAAGTTAAAAATTCTAGCTTTTGGCTTGTTTTTGTCATTTTAGCTTAAAAATAAGTGCTTAAAAGCCCTTTTTTACTTTATCCAAATACTAAAAATGGCTTAAAAGTTATTTTGGCATAAAAGCACTTAAAATAAGACAATCCAAACAAGCTCTAGTTAGAAATAATAGACTTGATAGCTAATTATTTTCTTTAATCACATCCCTAGCTAGCACGTGAATCTGATCCATTCCGTTGCATAGCCGCATTAATTAATTACAATTTTATTTCAGTACTTTAGAGGCTGGTCCATCAATTGCATGTGGAGCTAGTGCAAAATATTGCCAAGCTTTTTCGAAAGTAAACACAATTTTTCTTTAACAACTTGTTTGGATGGTTGTTACCTATTGTATCGTATCGTATCGTATTGTTACTTTAAATATGATGTTTGTTTTGATTGTTACTTAAATTTTATTGTATCGTATCGTTAAAATCTGTCGTTACGTAACAACGAAATGTGCAACTTTATGTAACGACCGATTTGGGGTGGTCGCGTCGTTACCTTGTCTTTTTCTCTCAATCTCACCCTTCATTAGTATTAAATAATTTTATTTCATCATTTACCCTAACTTTATATTAAAATTTAACCCCGTATCATAATTTTTCTTTATAATATTGCAAGTTTATTCATCATATTGCTGGTGCATGATATCATGAAAACAACACATTCTATCCACACATTGTATGCATTAAATGATACAGTACTATACTGTCACGACCCGAATTTCCCACCCTCGGGAGTCGTGATGGCGCCTACTAATGAGAGCTAGGCAAGCCAAATTTAATTACTTCTTCATTAATAACATAATTCCTTTTAACAGTTATCGGCAATAATACAAAGCAATAAAATTAAATAATAAGCGGAAGTCTCAACATTATAGAAAACTGAATAAATATGCGGAAAAATCTCAACAAAAGCCTCTAACCAAGACTGGCGTCACAGTTTCACAGACGGTCTAAGAATACTACACATAAAGGTCTGAAAGAAATAAACTCGACACTGTCTCCAGAAATACATGAAAGAAACAGGAATATAGATGAAAGGAGAAGCCAGGGCCTGCGAACGCTTGCAAGGTTACCTCGGGTCTCGCTGGGCTGAAAGCCTGCTCCCACACTACTACTGCTGCTGCTGCTGTCCGAAGCCTGGATCTGTGCAAAATAGCACAGAGTGTGGTATCAGCACAACCGACCCCATATGCTGGTAAGTGCCTAGCCTAACCCCGGCGAAGTAGTGACGAAGCTAGGACCTGACCACCAAATAAACCTGTGCAGATATATATATATATACAAGTACAACGGAGACGTAGCAAGAAGATAACAATTTAAGCCGGGGAAGGGAGCATGCTTCAGGGGCAACAGTTAGAAATAGGATTTCAGGAATAATAAAGCGTACATCTACAATTTAACTTCTAGCAGTAAATGAAGAGATAAGGCAACTTTCATATTCAACTCATCTTGTT